TTGAGGAGAAGTCCCTTGAACTCGTCTGCAACTAGGCTCTCAAAAACTGAAATCCAGCGACTTAGAAATCCCTGGATAAGTGTAAAGCAAAAGCAAAGCACATTTCAAAGGCTGTGGCACGCTCAGTGCACGGTGTTTGCATGAGGGGAGAAGACGTAGGACTGCATCCTGCAACCGGTTTAGCAGTGAGAGAAAGAGGCGGGATTTGATCCCGAGGTAGAAAATACTATTTTTCTCTAAAAACCATTTGCCGTTCTGTGAGGAGGGGAGCTGTAGTTCCTCACAAGCGGTGACTGCCTGTGCCCCCATGGCGGGCTGTGTCCGGCCCTTGGAGCAGGGCTCACACCCGGGAGAGTAACGTGGAGCCCGAGGCAGCCTCCTCCGAGGGGACCCGCAGCCGGTGGCGCTGCCCGGCTGCCACTCGCCTTTGCCCTGTGAGGGGCAATCGCCAGTGCGGCCAGAAACAGGCTGCAGCCCCGGCTCTGCCCCCGCGGCTGCCCGCCCGCTCGGCCCGGACCAGGCGCCCGTCGAGCCGTGCCCGGGGCCACGGAGGGTCCCGGCCCGACCCGGCCCATCCCGCCCGGCACCGCCTGCCGGCCACTCTCTGTCGCCAGCCGCTGTCGCGCCTCAAGCCGCCCCCTCTTCTATGCGTCGTTCCCCGCAACCTCCGTCCTGCCAGTGCTGCAGCCCCGGCAGCGATCGCGGCCCGCGGGGCCGGAGCAGGCTTGTACGAGTGCCGGGGCAGGGGCGATGCGGGACCGGAGCAGGGCCCTGTGAGCCCCGGGGAGTGGGCGGCGTGTGCCGCTCACGGTGCCGGGAGGAGCGCACTCCCAGCCCCGCGGACACGGTGTCCGCGCCGCCGCCGGGCGGGACCCCGAACCCACCGAGAACGGGCTCCGCGGGGGAGCCGGGAGGATAGAAGGTTCTCATTATAGACCTGCCCGGGTCCCAGCGCAGCACCCTCCGCTAAGGGCCGCGCTGCGTCCTGTGGAGCGAGCTGTGGGGAGCCACCGGTGCGCCCGGCCGTCGGTGGCACCGACCCCAACCGGGCCCGGCCCGGACGGAGCAGGGATCGGAGCAGCTGGATAGCCCACTGGGCTCAGAGATCACTCCCGGGGAAGCCCTCCTGCTGCCGCAGCCCCTCCGGTGTTTTGCGAAGCCCGTCCAGGGCGGGAGTTCCCGCAGTGCCCCCAGCCCGCTCCCGGGGTCCCTTGTCCACATCGACGGTGAGCGAAGGAGCTGAAAACCTTCCGAGCCTACTGCGACCCCGCGGCCCCCCGACTCCCCCGACACAGGCGGTCCCGGGTCTCCTGTCAGAGAGTGTTTATTCATCGCATAAACAGAAGCGAAAGGAATCAGGTGGGCAGATCCGATAGCTCGGGGGAACCTTACGGGCCCTCCAGCATGGAGTTACCGTGATCACTGAAACCAGAACATCCTTACAACGTTGTGACTGTGTATTTATAAACAACTCGCCATGGCTTCCAGCTTGGCTTTGCCTTCCATTAAGGCAAATGCTCTTTTACATAATATGATCACTGTTCTAATTTCCTCTGTCCCCAGCACTTTCCCTGAGTGACAGCGTGACATAATTAGCAGACGCCTAAAAAGTCAACTTCTAGACGAAGTGTTCACCGCGATTTCAGGAACGCAGACATGCAACACTTGATTTGAACACACACGGTTTTCATCCAGATAACGTGTTCAGAGTACAGCGACCAAAAGGTGAAATAAGTAGATTTGAATAAATGAAGAAAAAAATATTGCAGTTACACACTGGGATGCCACAATTACTCCCTGCGCTTCCCTCCACAGTGCAAGGGCCAGCGCTGTAAAAAGATGCAGGGCTGCATCCCACTGACTCCTTTCTTGCCTTCTGCCCTCCCCATCCCCTACGTTTTCTTTCTGAAGGGAAGAAATAATTTAAAAAAAAAAAAAAAAGCAAAAAACACCCCCAAACAAACAAAAGACTAAAAGAGAACCAACAAATTGCATCAAGTTCTGGGTGTTGGTACAGGAACCACTGGCTCAGGAATCCAGTTAAGAAATAGAAATTTTGCCCCTAGACTGATCTCGTCGCTCAAGATTAAGCAACACAGAGCTCCACACTGGAAAAGCCGTGAACAAAAGCCGCATGTCTGTAGCCCTGGAAGATCCTGGACCCACAAACCGGAGACAGACAGCCTGGCCCAAGGAAAGTGCATTGCACTGATTTGGAAAACAAGTCATTGGTAAGAGACTAGATTCGTTTGGTTTCCGTTAAACCAGCTCAGGACCAAGAATCCAGGGCTAGTCCAAACCCTGCAACTTTTCCCAGTGGCTGGAGCCAGTGGGGATGCAAACTCAAGAGAGAGCAAGCCTAAGGGCACTGATTCGGTTCCTTCTTCCCCAGCCCACAGAGGCCCCACAGCCCAAGACAACGGCGATCTACAGATGGAAAATCTCTGGATATTTGCAGGTGTGCAGACACCCAAGTAGTGTAAGGAGATGACTGAGACAAGACAGGAGGTCTTGCGAGGAAGTGAACCTCGTCCCGTACGGGTGTGGGGCTTCCCTCTCCCAGCCGTCCCTCCCTCCTGCTCTCTCCTGCCAGCAGCTGGGGGGAGGGGGGCAGAGAGGGAGTGTGAGGGGGCACGGGGCAGCACTGCTGCGGGGATCGCGCGTCCCCGCTGTCCCCACGGCCCTGCGAGGTCCCGCAGCTCCGCACCCGCCCCGCCGCGTCCCGCGGGCAGCCTGGAGGGACCCGCCGGGCGGGCGCTGGGATGCGCCGCCCGAGCACCGACCGCGCCGTGCCCGGCCGGGAGTGGGCGCCCGGCTCACCGCGGCCCCGGTCTCGGTGCCCGTTTATCACAAGCTGACCACAGTGGCAGTATTAATGTCTCACGGGACTTGTTTTAGCGGGAGAACAGACTCCAGAGAGAAGCACCCAGCCACATGTGCTTGCGTTCGGTGCAGTCTCTGATGAAGGAGTCCGTATGCCAACACTCTCTCGTTAAAACAGCCCTAATTCTCGTCGTGCTGTGTGTACCGTCAAACATTTAAAAGATCTCTCCTGTGTGTGAGTGGCGAACGCTCCCACCCACACACGTCCTGGCTTTACTGTTGAGAGAGAGGTATTGGAACCAGACGCAGTCCCCGTCGGAGGGTCCCGCTGGAGTCTCTCGCTCCGCTCTCGGCCTCGGCAGGACCAGACCGGGGCCACCCTATCCGTCCCTCGGCAGGTTCCTCTTCCCTCCCGAGACTGCGACGACTCCCCGCGGGGTCCTACCCGGCGCCCCAAAAGGGGGCACATCCTTCCGATGTGCATGGAGACGGCAGCGGGAGAGCAGAGCTCGCAGAGTCGGGAATTCCCTGAAGACTGCGTGTCCGCCTGTTTACATCTCTTCAGAAAACGATGCAGGAAATATTCACTAAAATATCGAGGGCGTGTAATTTAAGCGATGAAGTTTAGATTGCTCTTCGGAGAGATGGGTGATATAAGTGCACGGGCGATGCACGGGTGAATCCTGGATAAGTAAGCCCATGCACTTTCCACGTCCACCCTGTAGACGTTATCGCGTTTCTTCTCGGAAATAACGCCTCTCCTTAATTAGCTCGGCAAAACCGCTCGCCTCTCGCGAAGCCACTCCGGCCATAGCAATAACCCGGCTCTGCTGCCGGACTGTTCTCTGGACGCGTTTTCCTCTCGACTCCTCGCACCTCCCGCGCCCCGGGGCCGCTGACCCAGCCTGCGCAGCCCTTGGGGAGGCCCCAGGTGAGCCCCGACAAGCACCGCACCCCCGCAGCGCGCCCCACTGCCCCGCCTCCGCGGAGACCCTCGCACTGTGCGGGGCTGCCCCGGAGCCTGGGGGCGGGCGAGACCGGGGCGGCCAGTGCAGCCGCACCCGCTCGTCTCCTGGTGGAGCCGGCGCCGGACACGGTACGAAACACGGAGATTTCCCACACACTGCTTTTCCTCCAACACCGCAGTATGAATTACCGCTGCTCGTAATCTCACGATCGTCGCGGGGGCACAGCGCGGAGACTGACTTTGTAGGCTCCTACCGCAGTATTTCCAGAGAGAAAAGGTACACAGGAAGGGAGTTATTTCATAGAAATCTAACCCTCAGCTCTCCGCGGAGCGCACACCAACCTCATGAATTAACTCGTTGACGGCGCAGGAAAACGACCGACAAGCAACAACTTCGACTCTGCTACCGGCCGTGCCCGTCCCGCCGCGCCCGGGCTCACCACGGGCTCTCATCACGGTGGCCCGGCTCCTCCACGATGCATCCCTCGGAGCCCCCCGTCAGGTGCTCATTTTCTGTCGCGCCGTCTGCGACAGACGATAGCGGTGCTGTCGTGCCTCTCTCATTCACGGACGGGGAGATCCGCGCGGAGGGCAGGATGGGAGCCCGGCGGGATCCGCGCTGGAGCGGCTCCGAGCCGAGCGCTCCGCCCCGCCATGACCCGCGGGGCCGCCCGAGCACTCGGCCGGTTGCGCCTCGACCAGCCCCGCCGCGGACGGGGAGCAGAGCCCGAGCGGGAACCCCGCTGCGCTGGGGCCCCAGAACGCGCCGCGAGGGGCGGGTACCGGGCGCTCTGCGGGGCCGCAGCCCGTCGCCCGCGGAGCGGGTGATCAGGCCGGGCCTGGGGGCCGCGGGACCTGACCCCGCGAGTCCGCTCGACCGGGTCCGAGCTGAGGATTGCGCGAGCAGCTCCGGGCCATCCGGGGAGACGCCCGAAAACCGGCTCCGGGCCAGCATGGGGGCGGGCCGGGGCCGGGCCGGGACTCCCAGGGGCCGGCGGTGTCTATATTCCCCGCCGCCACTCGGGGCTCGGGCCGCTGCGCCGAGGGTCGGTCGCCGTGTACTAAGCCACGTCGAGGCCAGAACAAACTCCAGAGCTCTACTTGCCTCGCTGAGGTAGCGGTGTCGGGGACAGCGGGAGTGAATGTCTGTGCGATTCTGCCAGGGTTCGATCGGTTAAAAGCGCTGGACAAACGAGTGATTGACGGGACATCCTGGCATTACGGTGACTCGGCACAGCTCGTTCACTTATGGTCCTGCAGGATCGAGCCCAGGGATTTCAAACAGCGGTCATCTTTTTTAGAGGGAGAAAAATAGGGGGCTTCTCCTTTCACACAGCTCCTCAAAAGGAGAATTCCCTTTTATCAAGCCCATCGTGTTTGTAAATGTACGGGCAGTTCTCTCAGTTCGCTTTACCGAGACTCAACGACGTGTTCTGCATCCATGGTCAGGCGGAGCTGAAACAAAGAGGTGAGGGAGAAGATGGAAACATAACGATAAGTTTAATTAAAAGCAGCTGGCTGGTTAAATACGTGCCGAGGAGCAGACACCCGGTTATTTACCTCACTTGTGATGGACAAGCTGCTGCTTTATTTTCCTCTGATGCCTGAGAACTGCATCAGTGTTTGGTGTGAGGGAATACTGCGGACAAGATTTGTGATCGTGGAGAACGGGTGCCGTAACTCACGGCTGCTCACGGAGAAACGCGGGCTAGTTCTGCAGGTAGTGGGGGGAGCCAGCCTCCGCACCCTCTGTTCGGGATGCCACCGGGACACTGGTGTTAATCTGCAACACCTGTGGGAGCTCAGAGCCGGAGAAACGCTTCGGCAGCTCAGGTGGTTCTATTTTAGCTTAATGAGAAAGGTTTTATCACGGGATCTCGGAGGCATTAGCAGGAGGACAAGTAGTGAGGTGGGTGTAGGAGTTGGGAGTGTGAGCTACAGGAATTCGCCTGGGCTTTGCGATTTTGGAGTGTGGAAAAATCGTTCCTGTCACATGGACTGTCGGTTTCCGCCGTATTTATCTTCTTCGCTCATAGGGAAACGTAATTGAAACCTGTGTTTAGACTGGGGCGGCGGGGGGAAGCTGTGGTAAATGATGAAGACGAACGGGGGGATTCTCTGGGGTTTTTTTGTTGCTGTTTTTTGTTCATGATGATGTTGGGGGGGTTCTCCCCCCGCACTAAACCCGCGCGGGCTCGCTGGTGGTGATAACGGCCCCGACGCGCTGGAAGGCGGGTTCTGCGCAGGAGGTGAGGCCAGCGGGGCAGGTCCACCCACTTGAAAACAAAACTTTTTTCCTGCAGGCGCTGAGAGCAGAGATCGGCGCGGGGTCCCCGGAGCCGGCTCGCCGCCCGCCGGGGGCTGGTATGCGGTAGGGCAGGGCCATGTATTGGAAGAGCGACCCGATGTTCGTCTGCAGGCTGGAGGACAAGGACCTGCCCGCGCTCGGCGGCCCCGCGGAGAAGGTGCGCGGGCGGGGGACGGCGCGGTGCGGTTGGTGGGTCTGGCGGGTCTGGCGGTCCCGGGTGCGGCGCTCCCGGCGGGGCCCGCAGGTGCCGGTGGGCCGGGCTGGGCCGGGCGGCGCGGGGTTCCCGGGCGGGACCGGGGTTGACCGCGGTCTCCACGCGCTCCCGCAGGCCAGCCCCGCAGCGGCTGACGAGGACTCCTGCTCTTCCTCTGCCGCACTGTCGCCCTCCTCCTCGCCGCGGTCCATGGCCTCGGGCTCGGGCTGCGCCACCGGCAAGTGCGTGTGCAGCAGCTGCGGCCTGGAGATCGTGGACAAGTATCTGCTCAAGGTAAGGGCGTCCAACCCGGAGCCCCCCGCGGCCGGCGCTCGGGCTGCCGTGGGGAGCCTGCCGGGGCCGCCTCGGCGAGCCGGGCCCGGCGGGCTCCGAGGGTACAGCTCCCCGGGCCGGGCCATCGCCGCGGCTCAGCCCTCCCCTCTCGGGACACGGGAGCGGCACCGCGGAGCCGCAGCGCGCTCGTTCGCCAGGGTTCGGGCCAGAGAGGGAGCCCGAGCTGCCGTCGGTGTTTCAGGTGACGCTCCCGGTGCTGAGGTGTGTTTGGCGTGCCGGGAGGAGCGGGGACGGGAACGAGCGGTCCCGACCGCGGTGACTCCCGTGCGCTCTCGGTCAGACGGCGGTGGCGCGATCTGTGTGTCTACTAAAGTAGATCTAGGGATCGTCATGAATCTTAAAGCCAAAAATGCCTCTTGAGAAATGTGTAAATAAGTTATTCCTGTAAAAGGTAGTCAAGTAGTAGTTGTGAAGAAAACGAGCAGTGTGTGTGCCAAGCAGCTCTCCTTCCCTAGCAGTCAGGACCGAAAAGTCCATTTAAAATCAAACAAAACCAAGTGAGTTTAAACATAAAGTATTACGGGGGGGCGGGGGACGTTAGGGTGTGTGTCTGTGTCTGTGCTATTTGCCTTCTGTATTAGAGCTGTTAAAATTATTCTAGATCGACTTTTGTCCCTTTTCCTTTCAAAAGTGAGATTATACGATCGTAGCAGAGTCACTTGATTCCATCAGCCTTATACAAAGTAGTTGTATATTTGCCAGGTGACAGTCGGTGACACCGCTGGAAGCATCTCGGTGGTGTTATTAGATCATTCACTTAGCTCTTGGTTGGGGTGGGGTCGTTCAAGGAAGATGTGTGCTGGGCTAGAGCTCATTTAAAGCGGGGTCAGTGCAGGAGCTGCCACGTACTCGTGGTCCAGGTGATCTGGTCCACCGTGCATCAGCTTGGGCTGGCAGAGAATGGGAGGTTGGACGGATAGCAGAGCTGACTCAAACTCTGTTCCAGCCCGGTTCCCGTTACCTTCTGTGACGCTTTGGCAGCCTGTTTATCGTTTGCTGATCACCTTTGCCTCCTTTCTGAAAAACTGGGATAACGGGACTTGGGGCAAAAGGCCTCTAAATGATTTAGCCTTGAGTTTCAATTAGCTGTTACAGCTTCCTGTGTAGGCAGAGGGGAATCTGTGCTGGTATGCTGCTGTGTCCAGGTGCAGCATGGCTTCAGCCCTGTCAATTAACAAGTAGGAACACAGACAACTAACATTAAATGAGATAACAGTGGAAGCTGTTGGTGTCCTGCTCTGTGGAAGAGCATTGGTTGGGCTCCAAAGAAGAGGCAGGGACATGACAACCTGCTCTGAGGCTGGGTTGTCGGCTCAAGCTCTGCAGATCTGCACGGGCTCCTCTTGCCTGTGCTGGGGCTTAGTGTGGGTCTGGGGAGGCCTAGGGAGCCTTGGCATGGCAGAACTGGCTGAGGGGCAGGCTCAGTCTGGCCCAGCGCTGCCCCCCTGCTCTGTGGCCCTTCTAAGAGATAGTTAGGAGAGTGGGTTCGGTGACAGCTGCTATCAACAGTTTCATATTATATTGTGGTGTAAATTTGTCAGCTTACGGGAAGGTGGCTGCCAACAAGGATAATAGTTGGGAAAGCATTGGGCAACTGCAAACCGCAATGTTACAGCCTGAAGAATGACTGAAATGAGTGATTCCAGCATGACTGTTGGAGTTGATGCCTCACTTTCTCTGTGGTTTCTTTGGCAGAGCTCCGATGAAAGGCATATTCTGTGTTATTTAAAATCTGCTTTGCTATAGGTAATATATGGGCTGTTTGGTATGAGATGAGAAATCGGCTTAGGAGAAAAAAAATTATAAAATCTAAACCTAATCATTGCTTGGTTTACAGGATTTCTCCTATTCAGCATGGGATTATCCAGAGGGTTCTTGCTTAATTTGTATGGTCGCTGAGAGTCTTGGGTTGTCAAATTATTTATTTAGGTGATGTGCAATGTCTGGGCAACAAAGAGTTCCCTTTATAGGAAAGCAGATATTAAGATAATTGTTCTCAATGTATTTGCACCAAAATTGTATGTGAGTTTTCACAAATGCTGGTTTCTGCTGCATTCCACTAATGTGTTTAGTTTTGCTATGGATATATTGAAGATATGTTGAAATTGCTATTAAAACAAGTGCTGCTGTTTTGAAACTCGTGCTCCATTCATCAGCTTTGTTTTAACAGAAATCTGGTAAATGAAGGTGTTGTTCATGGTGTGTTTCTATTTGATGGATTTTCTCCCTCCTGCCCCCTTCAATATTCACATCTTAAAATTTCAGATCACTTTGCAAAGTTTAGTTTTTCTTAGGCAGGACGTTCTACAGACTGGGAAATAAAAGTACGTAACTTAGCTGCCTTTGCAAGTTCATGTAAGGCCAGAACTTGCTCTGTTACTCTAATGCTATGAGAACAGAACTGGGCACAAAATATCTACGTGGAACTTGAATCTCTTGCTTCCTCTTCTGATGCTTTTAATTACAAAACCATGAAAGCTTATTCTAAAGATCTGCATCAAATTAGTTAACCCTTAATATGCATGCAGTTCTTTAGGAAAAATGTTTTGCATTCAGGATCATTTTTCTGTGAATCATTGTACATATAACTTTTGACCTTGTCTGGAGAAAAAAAAGGGTTTGTAAATACAAGATATAATATTGGAAACACAAGCACTGAGGGTTATTTTTCTGTTGGGTTTTTGCAGGTAAACGACCTCTGCTGGCACGTACGCTGCCTCTCCTGCAGCGTTTGCAGAACGTCCCTGGGAAGGCACACCAGCTGCTACATCAAAGATAAAGATATCTTCTGCAAACTGGATTATTTCAGGTATATCATTCAGGAACATAATTTATCAGATAACTTGTTACACTTGCTTGTTACTCTTCACTTAAGCCACAACTGAAATGCACTTGAGGCTCTTTCTTGTTTATTTTCAGTGGTTTAAACTCTGACTTTTCTTGTGGAGGGACTTGGGGAGCCTCAAGTCTGTATGATGTAACAGCCTGCTAAGTCTCCCCTCTGCCCTTCCACTCTTGTGCACAGCTGCTGCATTTGTACCATCACTTCTGTATGCACGGGGGAAAAAAGGTCGGAGTCCTGCCACAGTATGAGTGTATCATATGTGCAGAGAATCACCCTTGGGTAATGGTGGCCGAGAATGCAAGGTAGAGTTGAGATGATGTTCGGAGAAGTGCTTCTCTGGTATGGGACTTAGGGCATCACATGGATCTGCAAAATCAAGCCAGGAAAAATCCCGCGATCTTTAAAAGAATCTTTCAGCAGTTATACCTTTCTGTGATCAATTTGCTTTAGAATGTGAAGCATTAAGGCCTAATTCTGTAAGGAAGAATATTATTTACATGGGTTGGCAATGTAAGTACTCAGGATGCCAAGTCTTTGATATATAAAGTAGCAAAAATTGTTGCTGTTAATTTTGATGTGATTGCTAGTACTTCACGAGTTTGATTGCGAGACCAAACTATTTATGGGATTCTCACCTGTGCCATGAATAGATTACATCCAGCTAGTCAGGTTTGACGCTGAGAGAGAGGAGGGGGGCAGACTGAATGCTGTGAACTTCTGGAAACACTAAGTTTTGTGAGACTTGAAAAAAAGAACTTGAGTCTGCAAAGATTTTCAAGACAAATTCTTATCTAAATAATCAACATATCTGGGTGGCTAGTTTCCTCTTCAAAGAGAAATATTCTTCTCTAATAATGTAAATACTTGCAGATATTTGAATTTATTTAGAAATCATAATGCGATGTTAATTGAGGAAATAACTATGAAAATACAGGTTTTCTCCCTTCTGCTGAAGGTGCTGAATGATTAGTGAAGGATGATGTAGCTAAATATAATAATTCAGACTACCCCTAGAGTGGTGTAAATACATTTGAATAACTGGGAGAATTTTGAACACAGTCAGCTGTTTCCCTCTCTCTGGAATTTTTAAGAGTAATTATATCTTTGTAAAAAGGAAAGATGAAGAGCTGTGACTTCACGTAGCAGTTAAAATGCTTCAATTTTGCTTTTTGCCTTATGAAAATACTAACCTCTGTATTTCATTAGTGGTCTTGCCTTAAGCAGTCCCTGTGCTCAGCTGGGGTCTCGGCTGCGCTGCCACACCGTGGTCACCTCTACCCCTGCCCGAGCCCGGCTTTGCTCGGGGCGGTCGCGTCCGGCTTCACCCCCGGTTGCCGTTCTCGTTGCAGGCGCTACGGCACCCGTTGCTCCCGCTGCGGGAGGCACATCCACTCCACCGACTGGGTCCGGCGGGCCAAAGGAAACGTGTACCACCTGGCGTGCTTTGCATGCTTCTCCTGCAAAAGGCAGCTTTCGACCGGAGAGGAGTTTGCTTTGGTTGAAGAGAAAGTCCTTTGTAGAGTACATTACGACTGCATGTTGGACAATCTGAAAAGAGAAGTTGAAAATGGTAACATAGTGCTTTTGTTAAGAACTATGTTTGTGGTTCAGTTTTAATTAAATTGTTGGGTTTTACTTCATCTTCCTTATTTAGGGGTAATTGCCTGGCTTTAGTAAGACTGGAAGCACAGGTTCTTGAATTAAAATAATGTGCAAATTATTTCATGTTCTAATTTTTTTTTGAGTTTGTATAACTTGTTTTCTATCCTAAGGAAAAGAAAGCAGTAGTATATCTTGTTGATAAAATATCATGCTAGATTTATTTCTTCTCTCACTTGAAAGGGAGTCATTTGGGGTATAATCTGTAATGATGCCAGACCAATTTAACTTTGAATAGAATATGGCTTTTTGAAGCTGAAATTCAGCTGACCAAGTGCTGTTGGTTATTGTTGGAGAACAGTCTGACTTATGAATAACATCACTGTGAATGTGTAGTGGCAGTATTGTTTTCTTTTTAATGTTTCAGGTAATGGGATTAGTGTGGAAGGAGCATTACTAACAGAACAAGATGTGAATCATCCAAAACCAGCAAAAAGAGCTCGGACCAGCTTCACAGCAGACCAACTCCAGGTAGAGGCAGTGCTAAAAACTTGCGTAGCTCAGGTTTATGCAGGACGTAGGTGCTGAACCAATAGGAAGTTGGATGCATAGGGGAAGAAACTTTAAAGCTTGAATGCTTTAAACTATTTCATAAACTATCAAGACACAGCATGTTTCTGGAGTTGTTTGTTAGCTTCAGCAGTTTAATATGAAATAGTACTCTGCAAGCTTTTTATTTCCCTGGGGGCAGACAGTAATTCTGCAGAGTGGAAACAAAAAGGTTGTTCTATTTAGATTGCTCAGTGAAATCTATTTAATCAGCAATTTACATCACTAAACATAATAAAGACAAAATATTTTTAGAATTATGTAATGTGAAAAGTTGTACTAAAGATGGGTACTGTATGTGACTTCAAAACATTAATAGGATGGAAGTTGTAATTTTGTTGTAATGACTGCATCCGCTCTGCTTTCAAGGCTTCTTGTCTTGTTGCTGCCTTGTCAAGAGTTAGCTCTGGAGTATCTCAAGAGGAATTATTTTGCCCTCTGGATCACACTTCACTTAAATTAGCTTTCTAGGGAAAAACATCAGGACTAGGGCCAGCTTACAATGAAAGGGGTGATAGTGAGACCAGATTTAGGGATTTCAACCTGCATGAGAAGGAAGCTGCGGCTTTCTGCCTAATCCTAGCTATACATCGCTGCTTTCACTTTATATCAGGTTTTTGAATTTCTGGTGACAATGTGAGTTCTGTTTTGTTGGCCTGTCCTCCTCTTTTTTGTGGTGAAAACAGTTGAGAAAAATCTAATGCTGAGGAGTAATAACATGTGGGGTGTTAAAGCAGTGCTGTATAATGGGACATGGGGCTGTTTAAAGTTTGGTTTTCTATTTCAGTAGTGACTAGAGACAGAAGGTGGTAACACAAAGGAATCATTTTAGTAATAATCCAACAGATGCACAGGGAAGGCTTGGACATTGAGCTTGAACTTCTGCAAAAGGGGACTTTCTTTTCTGGCACTATCTAAAAGGGAGATAGGCCCAGCCATCAGGGCAGGAACTGTATTCAGGGCTTCTTTCCAGCTGCTGTCATTTAGGTGGATTTTAACATACTTCAGCAGGTGTTTGAAATCTTAGGGCTCCTTCTTATTTAATGACACTTTTTATCTGCTTGTTGCACCTCTGTGCCTATCTTTGAGGCTGGTATAAGAGTTTGAATAGGAGAAGCATCATATGGATAAGTGACTGTCAGAGTGGCAGCATGTTACTGCACACCTCACCAAGTACTTGTACAAAAGGATGTCCATGCATTTTGATGTTTATGTTCTATAGCACATTCTGTTACCTAAAGGGGCTCCAAGAGAGCTGGAGAGGCACTTTGGACAAGGGCATGGAATGACAGTACAAGGGGCTTCCCCCTACCAGATGGCAGAGTTAGATGGGGTATTGGGAAGGAATTCTTCCCTGTGTGAGGGTGGTGAGGCCCTGGCACAAGTTGCCCAGAGAAGCTGTGGCTGCCCCATCCCTGGAAGTGTCCAAGGCCAGGTTGGATGGGGCTTGGAACAATCAGGTCTAGTGGAAGACATCCCTGCCCGTGGCACAGGGTGGAACTGGATAGTCCCTCCCAACCTAACCCATTCTGTGAAGCAGCAGAAAAGTAAATAGTTTCTGAATGTGGAGAGCAGAAATCTGAATCTTCAAAGATGAAGCCAGACAAAATTTGCAGGGTCAAATCAAGGGTCAAAAATCCAAAAATGAGAAACTAATGCTCTTGAAATTGCTGAAGATATCCTGCAGAAATCCATGAAGCCTTACTTCCATAAACTGGGCAAATCCTTAAAGCCTCTGAAAATGTTCAGGATGCAGGCCAAGTTGACATCTACTTACTCAAAAAAGTGTAATTCATATCCTAATAACAAGTGTTGACTTCAGTTTTCTGTAAAAAGATGAGTGGAACCAAATCATTGCAAAGGGAAGATCAGCCAAGGTGGAGTCCCCTCTGTTCCTTGGATTGGTTAAAGGCAAAGAAAGCACAAAATGCTTCCCACTCCTGCATCCTCCGCAAAGATAAAAAGAAAGTCAAGTTGCTCCATCTAATACAAGGTGCAGATACTGATTAACAAGTTCAGGGCAGTGGATCATGGCTCATCCCCTCCTTATGCTGTGATCTGCTGCTATAGGCTTTTCTTTATTGAGTGTATTTGAATCACTTTGCAGTGAATTTTCTCATATAGTTCTTTTAATGTATTCTTACAGAGCACCTCCTCCAAGCAGAATCTGTTTTTTTCATTTCTGGTGAATGTCACAGCTCAGTTAAGCATAGTAAGAGTTTGTATTTTGGCTTTGGGGGATTTTTTTTTTACTTTATGTATTGCGGGCTGTCTGGAGACTGGTGATTACAACAGTTTCCTGAAGACAGACAAGGAGTAGGACCATCGTCTGAGAGGAATCTAATGCTACTTTCAACACAAATGATCCTGCAATCTCTCGCCTTTTCAGGTTATGCAAGCACAGTTTGCTCAGGACAACAATCCAGATGCACAAACGCTTCAGAAACTGGCAGAAAGAACAGGCTTGAGCAGGCGTGTTATACAGGTAACAGTGCAAAGTTACTTGATTAACAAAGTCTGGTACTTATCCATTGGAAATGCTTAATGACAGTTTTCTCCATGTAGTTATTCTGGCATGGAAAAAGATCTGATCTGGCAATTATAACATTAGACAACATCCTTAATCAGGAATAGGTCTAGAACAAGCATGGTAATTTGGAAAACTCACTATATTCCTCTTGTGCTTTGTGTGGAGTATTCGCCTTCTGTGAAGAAACTTCTCAGCTTAAATAGTATAGAAATTGGCACTAAGTTATTCTAAATAGAAATATCTGACTGTAATAGTCTGTTCTTAAGACTTGCACTCTTTTTGAAAATGTGTTGTGTATGACATGTTAGGAGCAAGTGAATTTTTAGTCATTTGTTCTAGAGAGCAGAGTTAAAATATATACCCATGCCATCCAAAACTGAAACACAGACTTGGAATCTTTGCTTGAAGATGTCTCTCAGCAAACATTATATGGATGCTTTTTTATACATAAGTATGATTTTTAATAGATATTATATATATATATGTTAATATAAATACAAATAAGTTTGGAGTTCCTTTGGCTCATTCTAGCCTGAAAGATTGACAGTGTGTTTCTATAGAAATGAGATATCTGGCAGGTTGTTGTTGTGCTAGTGTCGAATGCAATCTGTCAACATGATGTACCTTTCCCTGCTTTTCAGGTGTGGTTTCAAAATTGCAGAGCACGCCATAAGAAACATGTTAGTCCTAATCATTCATCTACTGCTCCTGTCACTGCAGTTCAGCCCTCCAGGCTGTCTTCACCCATGTTAGAAGAAATGGCATACTCTGCATATGTACCCCAGGATGGGACTATGCTGACTGCTCTGCACAGCTACATGGATGGTAGGTGTTAACAGCTTTGCTGTTTTTCTCCTAGTAAAATCATTATCAGCTGCAGCAAGAATGGTCTACCAAGTACTGATTAAAATGGATTAAAAATCCTAATGGATTTTTAATTTTTAGTATTCTCTATAGAATATAGCAATACCGTACTTGCTATTTACACCTTATTAAGAAAGCAGTCGCTCTTCATTGTAAGAGCATGGCTGAAGATCTGGGTGTGAAAACCACTGCTTGTGCTTCCTCCAGACTATTAAAACTATAATGAGAAATTAAACACTTATTTAAACATCCACACCATGCATTTTAATAATACGTAATTTTAATGAAAACTGTTTACCACTTGCTCTCTGGCTCTTACCCCACGGACTGTAGAGATGCTCCACCCAGCAACTTCTCTGAGAGCTTCACCTTCCCTCACAGTAACACACAATGCGGGAGGGGGAGAACCTGGTGGTCAGAAGTGCTTTAGTCATTGTGTCTTACGACCCAGCAAGTCAACAGCTTTGGCCCCTATTTGTGGTTAGGAGGGACTGTGAAGATTTTTGGGAGAATCAGTCTGAGCTGCATGTGTGGCCCGAGCTGTTTTTCTCCAAAGCGGTGGTGTAAGGTGGGCTGTGGGTGGAGGAATGAGGATGCTGGGCTAGGGGAAACAGAGCGTACAACAGGGTTGGGACAGTGAGCTGTCACTCCCCAGTGGGATTTACTAGCTTATAATCTTTTTCTACTCTGATGAAATTGACTGGTAATGTTTGTTTTTGTAGCTCATTCACCTACAGCTCTTGGACTCCAGCCTTTGCTACCCCATTCAATGACACAGCTGCCACTAAGCCACACCTAATTCCTTTCTGTCAGGGATATAAGCTATTAAAGATGTAACCTTAAGTCATAGTGTATTGAAAATATCATTGGAAAGACATTAATGTTAACTTTTTATTTAACACCTAAAGCATTTTCAAGATAACTTTTGCTGCCCAGGTATGTAAGTATATTTAGCCTGCAAGACACTTTTATGGATTCTGCATAAATAACTATTACATTGTTTACAAGCCTTATTAAACACCTTTTTGTATTGTCTGGAAGTAGTCCACTCTAGTTATGTGTGTGTTAATTTATTTGTCATCAAAAGAGCACTTTGCCTAAAAGAAAGGACTGACAATTGTGCAAAATGTTTACAATTCTTTGTGAAATTGTAGTTTATCATTAGTTTGTATCTGTAAGTTATTGCTAAAAGTATTACCTGTATTTGAGTTGTATACAGCCTATATGTTAAAGCTTATTTCTGTGAGTTTACAAAAATAAATTTTGGTTGCAAATATTTTCAAAAAGAACTGAATAAAGTTTCTGCTGTAGCATGCCAAGCAAAAATGTTGCTGTGTTTATGGCTAAACTGTGATCATTTGTCAAGTGTTTAACTTGAATCTTCAATTTTAAGAGAAGGTCCCTGTTATACTGAGGAACATTACACCAAGGTCCTTCAGGAGGGTTCATATTTATTTCTGTTGATAGTAGTGTACACCCCAAATAGGTGGTACACAAGTGGGTATATGCAAAGCAATGCTGCTGCTGAGGGTGTACACTTGTGGGGGAAAGGAAATGGGAGATGAATAGGACAGATTTTAGACTGTGACTTAAGTTGGCAAGTGGAGAACCTGAAGTCACATCTGCTTTAAATTTTTAATATTTCCTACTTTAGCTTCTGTTCAGTGGTTTTATCTTGTGATTTTGTTAAGCAGGATGATAAATAAGATGCAATACTCAAACAGAGTCTGCTTCTTAAAAGTAAAACCTAGTTCAGCTTTTTAACTCACCTGCATATGAAGAGAGACTGGAATTCAGTCAAATGCACCACACTCTACTGTGTTTAAAGCTGCTAATGTGCTAAGACTTTGTTGCAGAGCATGTTTTGAGTCACTGATTTGATGCACAAAGGCTACCATAAATTCAACTGATTTTGTCTTCACAGACTAGTTTCCTTCTAGGATTTAAGACAGGTAGATCCCATTTGCACATTTAAACTTTATTTGCATCAGAAGGAAATCATACTTTTGAAGCTGTGTATATGTGTCCATATCCCTTTCTCTCCCAACTATGCATTAGTGTCTACTCTGAAATTCCTTAACTGTGCTGGTCAAACCATTTTCATGTGAAAAGAGTGCTTTCTCATGATGACTTTTGAGAGCATAACTTTAATAGTAAGCTCTGAATTATTCAAATTCATTAAATTAAAATCCTGACACAGTGCTTCAAGTGCTACTCATGGATGTCTGAGCTAATCTAAGTAGCAGAAGCAATCTCCTTGTACTGGCATAGTGTTTTGTCAAGGTTTATATTTTCCTGCTTTTCCTCCCCTCCCTTCTCCCCCCCACCCCTTAAAACACTCAAGACGGGCTGCAGTGGAGCTTGACTGACTTTACATTTTATTCTAGCATATGTAACATTTTATTCTAGAATATTTAACTTCTTGGTGAGAAACTTCAGGTGGAATACTGAATTCAGGATGTTGTTTCCAGTACCTAAGCTAGCTCCATAGATCACCATGCTACAAAACTGCATGCACAGCAGTAGATAAACGGGTTTGCGTTCATTTGTTGTGTCTGATACACAAGTAGGACAACCTTAGTGCTGAAGTTTTACCAGTTAAATGCTAAATAATGCTAATTTAGATGTTAACATAACTTGGTAATTTAAAATGCAACTTAGCTTGCATTGAGTTCCTTTAAGAAAAAGTAATTATTCACTCTAATTTGAAGAACTGAGTAGCTTCAGGTTGCCTGAAACAAAAGAAGTTTAAGCTTATTTGTGAAACACGTCCTTCTGTTCAGTTTCAAAGTCAGAACAGGATTAAAGTACATGGGAGCAATTTTCCTATTTCCCTATGAAAGTACGAAGCAGCATAATTTGTCTTTTGCTACTGTTCAGAGCTTGTGCAGCTATTTATAAGAGTGGCTGGGAAAATGAAGAGTTGAAAATAAGCTCTAGCAGAGAATCTGGGTGTTGTGTCTCCCTTTGCCACTGCCAGAGCCGTTTGCAGCTGGTGTTGGGTTGACAGTCTGTGGAAAACTGTGGACAGTTTTAGTCAGCTGTGTTCAACTGAGGCTGCTGCTGTAGCCTGACTTCGAATGCTTGTTTGACAAGTCTGAATGTTTGTCTTTCTCTCCTGGTTGTGCACTGGCATTTGTGACTGCTGCTGAGTTGTTCTGACCCTGGAGCCATCCTCTCTGCCTCCTGCTGTGTAAAAGAGTAACTTGGATAATGCTAGGATGAGGAAATTCACGGGCTCTCTTTGCAGAAAGGGAATGCTTCAAAAACATCATAATGATATATCTGTTTGTATGTCTGTGTGTGTGCGCGCAGGTGGGGTTTTTTTCTGTTTTCATTTGGTTTGTGCTTTAAGGTGTACTTACTTCATATGTTACTTATTGCTGTGAAGTCCTTAAGTTAAAAGAAAGAACAGTGACGTAAGCATTTCTCTTTTGCTTGAAACAGCTGACCAACTGAAGTGTGATGTAAGACATTTGAGCTTCAGTATTTATTCATTACCAGGATTAGCAGCACAGGTGGAGCAACTGAAGTCACATGTTTGGCTCCCAGTCCATTGTTTGCCTAACAGCGCTCATCTTTTCTCTTCTACTCCTGCTAATTTCTTCCACCCCCCCACCCCCCACCTCCCCCCAATAAGCCCACAGCAATTCAACAGTACTTTTGGGAAAACACCTCACAACTTCCTTTTCTGCCTGCAAATTGCACATTCCTCTGTTTACACAGTGCTCCTTGGACTTCTTCCCCACCCCTCTCATGAAGAGCTTTTCCCTGTTGGGCACACCTGTGACAATGCATCAGCTCTCTTTCAAATACTGCTGTCACATGGGTTGGTTTGTTTGGGTTGGTTTGGATTTTTTTAAAACCCTGCCACACCTCAACAGGAGCTAATCCCTTCCCCCATATAGACCTGCCATCACAAACTGCACCAATATTATTTCCCAAGTTGATCTCATGGGAGAAAGATGTCTCCTGCTCCATGCCTCCTAAAAACAAAGGTTATTACTGAAATATGGGAAACTTGTAACAGTACACCAGTATATAAAAAAGTTACATATTTTCTTATTTTAAAATTAAGCCATTGCATTTGAAAGATAGCTACTCCATTAAAAAAAATCAGTCAAGGAAGCATTTTATTTTTGTTTAATATAAGCTAACAGGTCATCCAAGAAAGTTAATCATAAAAATATCATTTAAATAGGACACAAACTGTAATATGATGAATGCAGGAATCACTGGAAGCTGCCTTTTTCACCATTTTCAGAAATAATCAGCATAAATACTGGCATTCCTAGAATATGGATACAGTCATTTAGCCAAAATATGATTTTAAGACAAAAACCTGTGTGTCTATGTTATGCATAGTTAAATCCATAAAAATGTTACCTTTCAACAGGCACTTTGATGTCTCTGCAGGAATTTTTCCAGGCGTCTAGGTGGTGGGCTGGGATGCTCAGACACAATCCACAGAAATGTTCAAACATGCCAGTGCAGGTTTCTTGTAATGACATCAGTTCAGAAGAGCTGCCACTGCTGCAAGAGAGCCCCTAATATTAAACTCACAAAGAGTTTTAACAACTTTTTCAAGCTCCAGGGGCTCAGAACCACTACAGCTGGGTGTTACACAAAGATTTGTTAAACTCTTTTGGACCATTGTTAGTGTTCTCACAAAACAATTTGTGAGCTTAAAGATACTACTATGATAACGCTGTTCCAGTACTCTGTATTTCTGTAAGAAATTGGAACTCTGTAAACTAAAAAAAAAAAAAAAAAACACAAAAAAAACCCACACAAAAAACCCAAACAAACAAACTACAAAACTCTTCTGTTATTATCATTTGGAGCAAATTAAGCATGGACCTTTCTCCTGGGATGACTTTGATTCTTTTCCAAACTTAGGCTCTTTAAAGTACATTACCTGCAGAACCCAGCCAAATCAACAGAAATGAAAACCTGGGACCTAATGAAATTAAAGTTGATTCAAGACAGGAAACTGAGTTGGTCAGATGTGTTAAAAATGATGGCAAACAGAAACTACATTACGAAGCTCTGTATTAAATAATCCCTTCCTTTCCTTCTCCAAGGTATCTGTATATGTGTGGCTTTGCAAAGGAGCATGCCAGTTCTTTGGACAAAATGCACCAAAAGCAATGTTCATCTGCAAAGTCAAACCACAAAGATGTGCACAGGTGGTACTCATCAGCCACTGGCTGAGACAAAAGCAGAAACATTTTTATCCTGGGTCTCTTTGATTGTAACAGGTCAGTTACATTATCATTTCGTTCTTCAGCAGAAATGTCAGTCAGATCACACCACTGCTGCTCTGCTGCTCTAGCCCAGAGTAGTTGCAGCACAACGACAACTCATGGTGCCAGAGCAGAGTGGAGAGGCCTTTCCTCCCCTCTCCCTGTGCAGCCAACACCAGTGCCAGCAAGGGCACCTCCCTGAGCAATGTGTGCATAAACCGATCAACTGCAGATGAGTTGCCATGCTGCATCCCACCGAGTGCTGACACAGGTTACAGGTACATAGCCCAGGGCTGCAGGGGAGGTTTATGTCACTGTATGACAGACCCCTTGGCTAGCCAAACAGAACAACCCATACAGAAGCAGGATCCCTAGAAAAGACTGGAGGTCAGACTGCTGGTACGTGGAAAAAAAACCTCTGGGTAGGTTTTGAATCCTCTGGATGTGGATTAAAGTTTCTATGGCATGCAGCCAAGATTAGATTTGAATGTAATATGAATGGCAAGAAAACCATGTGAGATAAGAAACACATCAGTCTGAAAACAAATTTAAGAGAAGGCAAGAAAGCAATTGTTAGCAAGCCTTACGTTTTCTGGAGGACAATGTAACTAATAGCTGCAGTCAGTTCCAACAGACCGTGTCTGTTAACAGGAGATACTGATGGAGTTTAAAAATATCCAGATTTTAATTAAAATAATGACATACATATGAGACACATAGTAAAGGTCCTCTATGCTCCAAAATCCCCGTACAATAACTTTTATAATACAAATGTATCTTCAGAGTTTGGGTACCCTATGTTGGATTCTGCAGGGCTATACACGATCAGTTGAACTCAAACAACGTGCTTTAAAAAACACAGTACTTTACTGTTATTGTTGCCTTCTGCCATGGTCAGAACTGAGTTTTACAGCAATGCTTCACACAACAAAAAGCATGCGGGTTTTGTTTGCTGAATTTGCATCTAATCAAATGTTAAAAAACAACAACAATGAAAAGAAACAAAAGTAAATCTGCTCTCATGAAGATTTACTGTAGAACAGCAGTGACTTTTATCAAGAGATGAAGCAACTCTAGTGT